CAATGAAAATCTTTTTATATTACACATATCTGCATTTTTCCCGTTAAACTGCAAAACTTGTGCATTTCACTCGTTATTATAAAAAAATTTTCCTAAGTATGATATAGCATTTGCGATCAACAAGATGTTGGTTCTGAATACGGCCCTGTCTAATTCTTGGGATTTTCAATATCACGTGCGTAGGGCATGTCAATGTTTACATCCACTCTATCTTGGATTTGAATTTGCTTTTTTTTTTTAGTAGAGAATCAATCACAGCAGCGAATCTACCTGCTAGCTGCTGCTGTCAACCTTACGAAATTTTAACACTCAATTCCCTGCTTATTTGAAGGTAGCGTATGTTTGTGATGTAATTTTATAGTCAAAACATGATTGAGACAGTTAGTACACCATTTTATGCAACCCTTATCTATGACGGAACTGTTTGATTATATCAGTTGTTCAAAAATAACTAGTGGGGGGCCCGAAAATAGGTTTGCGGGGGGGGGCAGAAAAAATCTGTTACGCCACTGTCAACCCCCCATGCCATTACAAAAAAATACGGGTGGTAGTTCTGACGCAACGTGTTCTTCGAAATTCTCGATAACATGTCCCTTTCTGACTTACAGAGGAGGTCAAGCTTTCGTTAAAACGCCCTGTATAGATTAGTATTGCTACGTGTTGGATAATCGTGAAACTGGAACCCAAATTCTTCCTTTTGTGTGTAGGTCGAAAATAATTGAAATAAGTGGTATATAATTGCAAATACCAACCCTGTTCATTTTGTTTCTTGAATAGTTACGACTTCTCGGGTTTTTTTTAACTAATTAAGCAATTTTTTAATATTACACATGATTCGTCACGGTCTCCGATTTCGTCAAATGCTACATTGATAACCAAGGTAAGTGCGTTTCACATTAACAAGTCTCACGCGGTATAGTCTAATCACTGTCGTTTCACAATTAGTAGTAGAACTTGAAAAATCATTGCCACACATTGACAGTTGGGCTGGAAAGGTCTTAGACTAACATAGAAATACATGTTTTAAATAAAATTTGATTTTGTGAATCAACATAGTGGCCTTCGACGACGATACAACAATTATAGCGGTCATACTATTTTGCGTTGCCATTTTTATAGTACGATTCGTCTTTAACCTCAAAATAGCCCCTAGTTTCGACGATTGCCTCTTCATGCTCGCTAAATTTCTTTCCAGCGAGCATTCTCTTGAAGTCTGATTCCGCTGGGGGACGGATCTGAAGAATACGGTGGGTGCGGAAGAAATTCGAAGCCCAATTCATGCAATTTTGCCATAATAATAATAATAATATTTATTTTCCATAAGACATGAACATGTATTGGAATAGTCAGTTATATGAATGATTATAATGAAGAAGATGATACAGTCACATTAAAAAATTCTTGCACGGTATAAAAACTATAATTCAATAAAAACATTTTCAAATTGAATTTAAAAACATGGATTCTGTCAATTTCTCTGAGAAAAGAAGGTAACTTGTTGAACATTTTCAATCCCAAGTGAAAAGGGGACCGGCCAGTTAGGTTGTGTTTATAGGGTTTCACATAGAAATTATTACGATTTCTTGTGTCAATACTATGATAGGAGCTATGTCGNAAAATAAATATAGTGTAAAAAACTAAAAAACACGCTTTTAAAGAACATCGAACTAAAAAGTTAAAAATATTTTTTTAAAAATATGCTTAAAACAATAACGAACAAAAAATACTAGTATTATTGTATATAGTAAACAAAAAATATGGCACAAAGCGTGTTTTTTAGTTGTTTAAACTATATTTTTCATCTTGTTGATCAGATTAAATTTCGAAACTGATATGATCAGAATTTCCTATAACTTGCGTTCAACTTCCAGTAACCTACCTAGGCAGGTATATCTACAAATACTAATTTAATTTCATCCTAATCCCCTCGACTTAGAGAAGTTGAATGCAACTTTCATTTCAAACCCTGTAAATGAACGAATCAGCAGTACAGTCCCTTTTTTATTTTTTCGTTGAAAAACCGCAACTGATATCCTGTTGAGAACTGAAAGGAAATCGCTCTGGCCGTGTCTGCCAGCCGCGGTTCGTCTGTTATATTGAGAGAGAGCAAACAGGTACCCACGATCCACGATACGGAGTTATAATTTTGTTGATTACTTTGCCAGCAGATAGAGAGAAAACACAACGCGTGTTCGACCAGTGTTAGCGTAAAAACCATTTGCCTCACTCAGATAGCACAGGAAATGAGATGCGGCGTTGCCGGCTCGTGGAATAATCGCTAGGATGGAGGAATCGGTCGATCGAAGGTCAAATAGAGAACGTTCGTTGGGGTTTTGCCGGCTCACTAATTCGGGCGATGAAATTCTCGTTGGGACTTCTGAAATCAATAAAGATATTAGATAATAAAGACAGTTTTCGTACCATGTGGGCCTTGTAGCAGGGGGGTCAAGAAATAATTATGACCTACTGAGTAATTTAACGATGACAGTTGGTTTGTATTTAGATACCTAAGTAGGTAATTAAACGAAAGGGTAAAAGTACATAGGTACTACTTATGAACTCTTTCAATTTTACTTGATGATTTTTCAGAATACAATTCTTCAGATATATTCAGTTGAAAATTTATGCTCATTTTATGTCACATCTATGTTTTCTCGAGAATAACAGTTTGCGGCTGTTGTCTCGCTGAGAAATTCCTGAATATGCAGTGGCGTAGGTAGGATATAATTCATGCGATAAATTCAATTCATTTAGTTACGAAGTTTTTTGACTGATGACTGTTTTTCTTGGATTTTTTTTCAGTTTTGCTGTTGTAATAAGATCATTCATTCAAAACAAGAGTGTGAGGATGATGCGGATTTCATTTAATCGTGAATAATAAGTAATATATATAGGATTATTAGAGAATCGTTAAGTTGATTTTTAACACGACTTTATTAGCTTTACTAATTCGCCAGGATCGCCAGGATTGAATAATTTCCTCACGCAGTCTCTGTGTGAGAGCAAGTGAGACAACCATAATGCCTGCGCATGCGTATAAGTGTGAAATCAGAATAAATCTATATTTACAAAAAAAAAATTGTAAAAAATAATGGGGTACTAAAATTTCGAATTATTTTTTAATTTTTAGTTTATGTTGCAATTAAAACGTGTTTTTTAGTTTTTAAAACTATTATTTATTGATAACTAAGATCATTTGAGAAAAATGTGTTTTTTTTCAATTATAGTACATGTCTACCAAGTGCGTTCTATAGATGAAAATGTTCGAAAATTTTCGTGTTCGAATGGTTTCATACGGAAGGTATTTTCTCAAGTACTGTATGCTGTTTGGTAAATATTGATAAAAATCTATGGCCATCTTTGGTGGTTGCGAATACCCTTTTTGTGTTTATTTTCCCGATAAAATGGAGTAAAAGTTGGTACTATTTTATCAGAATGCTATATATTAGAATCATGCATAATACAAAAGTATATCAAAGAACAAAGTGATTCTATAACATTATTACCAGTTATAGTAATTATATGAGCTGAAAAAAACTGACACAAATGGCAACTCGGTCAATTCAATATTGAACCAAAATTAACTTGAGGTACAATTACAGGTTATTGTAAAACAAAATCATGAAATCATGGTGCAATTTTTCGGTTTATCAATCATGGTGCGAATTTTTTCTGCCGCAGTTGCAGACGAAACTCCAGGCTCGAAAAACTGCGGACCACGGCTGATAAACTCGAAAGCAACTATTAATTTGATGATTATGAAAGTATATTACATTTTGTTTGATTTTCAATAATTTCTGTGAATTGTTTCTTATTTTTTGGCAATAATTTGTTCATATTGGTGTGAATTATCTAAAATTTATGGATCATTTCGATTAACATCAAATAATTAGTCCTAAATACTTATTCTCTTTTACTTTTTCATTCTTTCACTTTATTTTTTCTTTCCTTGATTTCACTCAAATTTTTTGTTGAAATGTAATTCAAAATAGTTTTTCCAAACTTGTATAATTTTTGTATATAACGAGTATGACGAGTCAACTTTCAGTAATAGTGATTCAGAATATATGTTTTGAAGTCCACTCCGCATAAAATACCGCCAATATGAGACTACTATTTTTTATCTACTGAATTGTAATACATACTTAGGCATGAGCACAAACACTTCAAAGATGATCGAAAATATATTTTCGAAAACAGTGATTTAGGAGTTATACCCTTGGGAGGGACACGCTGTATACATGAATTTTGAATTCTTTCAAATTTCGAAATACAGACAGAGCAGACATACATTGTAAATTTTTTGTAAACGTTGATCTGTGATGGCAATAGTAAATACGATTTTTGGCTGAAATCGGTCGCTATTTGATGAAAATCCATAAAAATTAATCGCTACATAGGTTATGACTATGATTATGGTTGAATATTTTTACCACAAATTGTATTGAGTAATCTTATTATAATTTCCGAGTAACACAAGTACAAAATGTCGAGATGGCTGAAATTTAGAGTAATTTTTCAAAACATATTTGAAAGAGGAAAGGTACAAAAGATAATTTTACCACCCCTCCAAAATAATTTTCACTACGCCACCTTTGCGTTAGTAGTATATAGGAAACAAAACTTGGTTTGCGTAGGTTTCAAATTCAACTTTTTGGTAATTAAGTAGGTAGATACGTCTCTATTTTGCAATATTTATTTCTACTTTCCAATGTTCATTCCTACTCTGAAATATGTATCAATACCTTGATAAACCTTCAGCTTTCAATGTTATACAAAAAAAAATGTGTACGACAATTACAAAACACCCAATTCTATAGAAACGGCTATATCGGATACTCCAATACAGCTGTTCCGCACACATGTACAGTCCGACATCGCTTTTGCTTTGTACGTTACGAGGTCACGTACCGACAATGAATCATAGAACAACGGTTTCACGACGCTCTAAATGTTTCTTATCAATTTCATTCAGCTTTACAGGTGGTTATTATTTTCAGAATTTCACCCGTCCTGAAATCTGTCAAGCTGCATTTTCCTCTCGCCTTAATCGCCTAAAAACGACGACCAAACGCTTGGCAACGTCGCAGGGGAATGTCAGTCTTGCTGGGCCGGGCTTGGGGAAACATCAGACAATCGAGGCCACGCCAGTGCTGCCACTTGCCAACTACGGCGAACCCATCAACTAAGCTACAGCACGCCAGCTTAGCAGTGCCAGTAGTGAATAGTGAACAGCAATAGGCATGGCCTCCGCGAAAGATACGGCTACGTTCTTCACCCACGGCACCTGTCAACAATTCGAGCAGGTCCTCAAATTGTATCCGCAAGCCCTTCGACTCAAAGCCGACCGAAAGGCTAAGAAACCGGAGGAACTGATCAAATTAGACAACTGGTAAGTGGATTTTAGTGAATATGTGTTGTGTCATTGAACTCTACTAATGTGTTCACCGTCTAAGTCGTCGAGTGAATAGCTTTAGCACCCCCGCGATATCTTTCTCTGACGGTCATTAAAATCACGCTCGTCACGTGGTAATCGATGACAACTGCAACATGCTCTCAAATACCGAGATAGTTGCATTTTCGATGTGAAATTTGCGTTGCTAGGTCGGCGTCATGGCCTCGTCTTTTATAATGCATACGCGTCGAATTTCGATTTAAAACTAATGTAACGTTTGTACAGCTAGCTGAAATACTTCTGTGAAGGATACGTACTTGATAGTGGTGCGTGTTTTCATTTCTGAACGTGGAAATTCAATGGAATAATCGTAAAACATGCCGTGTAATCTAGACTTTCAAAATGGAGCCTGATCAAACAAAGCATTCTACGTTGGCTGTAAATTCGGGGTTTTCATTGTTCTGAGCAGTATTTTTGCACGTAAATCGTTGAAAATGTCAAGAAGTACCCTTCAAGTTGTTTACTTTGAATTTATCGCGCCAGTTTTCTTGCTACAAATTGATTAATCGGAACCGAATCCCTGTCAAAGTAGAGGGGATTTCTATTAATATCGTTCGATCTATTATGTTATTCCTATGCATTTTTGAAAAATAATTTTGGATTTTCGTTTCGAAAATATATGTTTAGTGGTACTTACTAGCTTATACCAGGCTACGTTTTTGTAAAAGCCTTTAGAACCATCTGGGTTGTGGAAAATTTCCAGATGTTGATTCCAATATTTCACAACTCTGTAGGTGTGATATTCATAAACTTTTTGAACCTCGGAAAAATGCGTTACTTGGTTGATTTTTCAAGTTTTGAATTATTGATTAAATAAAAAATGAGTTATGAATTTATTTTTGAAGATGAGATTCACTGATCGCAAATGTTGAAAATATACATTTTGATATGCTGATAATAAGAAAATATGATTTTTTTTCAGAACCAAAATAATGTAATTGAGCAGAATCAACAGAAACAACTTCTGTCTTTCAGAAGTAATATTTTTTGAACATTTTTCATTCTCAGAATCCAGTATAAACAAAATCAATTATTGCTCGTACATTTATAATGTTCCGTTGATGATGATTAACAATATTTTCTTGAATGATATTTTTACTTCACTGAATTAACCAACTAATCATAGTTGACCAGATTTATAACTCATTACATAGAGACCAATCACAGATGAGTAAACTCATAACATTACAATGTGTTACAATTATTTTCATAATTTCCTTACTAAAAATGCGTTCCCAACGTCAAACTTACGAAAAACAAGAATAAAGAAGGATTGAAAGTGCCTCACTTACTAACAAAATGAGAGTATCACTTCAAAAAGTCTAAGGACATTATATCAGGTGATCTAGCCGTCAATTCCAGTGGAGCACTTTTGCTTACAACTACTAATAACCTGTTTGGAAGAGTTAATCCTATTCTCAAAAATAAATTGATGTAGATAGTTTGAAAGGTGATTGTTCATGTCATAAATGATCATTGAGAACATGTATTTGAATATTTTATTTATGTTTTTCAACCGCATGACGGTTGCAGACGACTTGAAACTACCTATATTATAAAATCGACGACATTACTGACTGCCATGAATTGATATAATCAAACTTTGGTGTAATAATAATCGTCTACAACTGAACTTATCCAAATGTAAAATAATATCATTTACATCAAAAAAGCGAACTTTAATCTACGATTAATCAATCAACAATACTACAATCAACCGCATACATGAGATAAAAGATCTTGGTATAACATACGACAGTAAATTAACATTTACAACACATATAAGGAATATAACTGCTGATGCAAATAGGATTAGGTTCATTTACAGAAATGGCAAAAACTTCAAAAGTATTGCCACTTTAAAATTGTTATATTTTGCGTATGTTTAAAATATGTTTATGCCAGATCTAAGTTAGAGTATGGCTCTTTATGAAATTCAGTTCACGACTACCAAAAAACATCAATTGAAAGCGTACAAAGGAAGTTTCTAAACTACTTATGTCTAAAAGTTGATGGAAAATACCCCACGAGAGGCATCGATCATAACATTTTGTTGACACGATTTGATATGACATCTTTGGAAAATAGGAGAGTTATCCTTGGTATACAATTCCTATATAAATTACTCAACAACAATATTGACAGTACGGTTCTTTTAACCGAAATCAGTTTCTTAGTACCAAGAAGTGAAGGTCGACACGATCTGAAATTCTATTGCGAAGCATCTTACACAAATGTTATGCTACGATCACCATTGAATTTTATGTGCAGTAGCTTCAGTAAAATCTGTGAACACTGCGATATTCATTTTGACTCTCTGAACGGCTTGGTATCACTTATCCACAATCACTTTTAATAATACTATAAATAACATTTGTGTCAGTACTCCTACATTGCATTATTTGTAACTTTTTGTGTTATATACTCAATTTTTCATTCCTCCTTTGAAATTCTACGTATACGAATATTTCATATATACTTTGTTTTAGCACTTACTTTTATACATTTCTATATTCCATTATTTTTAATATTTATTTCATATATACTCCGTAATAATAGCATTTCCTAGGTACTCCTGTTGGAGTACCCAGTTACAGTTATTCAATACACAAAAATCAACCCTTAAATTCAAGATCGCGGTTGACGCAACGGGTCTTGAACCGCGGGAACTTGAATTTAGACTGCCAGTTACTCGCTCCCCCACATAATTCTGAAGAAAATTTCCAGTAAAAATGTTTGCGTTACTGGCCCCTTTTTTGAGCTAATTTCACTGGGCTAGGGGAAAACTAATTCAAATGTAGCAACTTATTTTGTGTTATCAGAGGTCCGCAAGATTAACAGTTCCATTTATTCAGCCACAATTCGATTAGCGAGCCACAGACGTATCTTCGTTCAACCTTGAAGAACATCGCCATTAAAAATTTCATAATCGAGGTTTCAGAATTGTTTTTCGAATAAATCGACGGACTTGTCCGAAGTATCCAAAGAATACTTGACTTTATTATTTATTAGATAATTTTGTGTTACTCATCCTTGTATGTATTTTAACTCCTGATAATAATCACAGACACTTTATTTATAATAAATCTATATTTTGTAACTGAATATTCATCAAACCAAATATTTATAATGCACACATTGACGACGTATCTCCATTCTTTCATTGTCCCGACTGTATTGTATTTTTATTATTGACATGGAATATATAACATGTATGTATGTTTGTTTGNATTCCGAGGATATTACAATAGTTGTTGAATATCCAACTATTTGAAGGGTAAAAGAACATGAAATGACCCTAATAATCCGATATACCTGCTTAGGAATCCCAATGGTGGAAAGTTACTTCCTAAGTCCAAGGTACTACTTATTTACTACCTAGGCCAAACTTCCAAAGTACTTACCTATGATAGTACCTGATCCAGGGGAGTCTAGCTCAAACAAAAATATTGACACACAAAGTTTGCGAACTTCATATGTGATAGAAAATAAGAAATGTTATATTCATGGCATTAGCCCCCTTTCCTTGCATCCGACAATGTTCTGACACTCCAGTGACTATCCTTGTACAAAAATAAAACAAATATTTGTATATATGATGGAATCGGCCGTTACTTGATGAAAATCCATAACTAACGTATTCTAAAAACACTTTGTGTGATTTTCACTAGACAGTTTTACAAAAACGCAACACAACAATGCTATATATACCTTATTCTACAATTTGAAGTACCTGAATTTCAAGTACTTGATTTTTTTACCTAAGTTTGTAATGAATTTAATTACCTGAAATATGGAAAGTGGAACATAAGCACAGGTAATTTAATTCATTACCTGAAATGTGGAAAGTGGAACATAAGCACATAAGCAATGATAATGAAATGAATACATTGACATTCAACTACATAATATGAGGTAATAAGCTTGAGGTCAGTTCAGAAGATGCTTGAAATGGTTGTCTTGAACTTCTTGACATATGAATAGCCTATCCGATAGTTCACGCCGAACACTTACGAACACAATAACGTCAATATCTCTACAAATATTTATTATTCTCTGCCGTTTATCCAATATTGAAGCAGGTTCAGTTTCGTACACCTTTTGCTTCAAATAGCCCCATAAACAGAGTCCAAAGGTGTCAAATCTGGCGAGCGGGCTGGCCATTCTGTAGGACCTCGACGGCCAATCCAACGACCGGGAAAAGTAGTATCCACGTAGTTTCTTACTTGTCTAGAGTAATGTGGTGGTGCTCCATCTTGTTGGAATACAATATCCATATCAAATTCATTAGGATTCGCTTCGACGATTTCAGTGATGAGATGGTCAACAGTAGTTCCCAGCATATTCAAATACAGTTCTCCTGTTAAATTTTGATCAATAAATGGAGGTCCTACAATATGGTTTTCCAATATTCCTGCCCAAACGTTAATTTTTTTCTGGATATTGGGTACGTGTTTCCCGGAAAACATGAGGGTTGATGTCACTCCAATAACGGCAATTTTGTCTGTGCACATTGGCGTTTAAAAAAATGTACATCCGTCACTAAAACAAATATCGTGGAGATAGAAAGGATGCCTTGCAATGGTTTCCGTCATGATTTCGCAGAATTCTATTCTTCGATCAGGGTCATCTTCAGTTAATTGGTGTACCATTTTAATTTTGTATGGATGATACCTATTCCTCTTCAAAAGTCTCCACACAGTAGAAGAAGACACCTTACAAACATTCGCGACGGAATAAGTAGACTGTTCAGGATTTACTACCATCTCACCAATTATTTGCACTTGCTGTTCTTCCGGAATAGACGGATAACCTGGGGGCTTGTTGTTATTTATGTACACTACCGGTAGTTGTGATTTTGGATACAAGTTTCCTCAAATATTTTCTACAGAGAGGAAGATTCGAAAAACGTTCATTGAAAATCCTTTCGGTCTCGTGAAAGTTACGCGTCGCACCGTAAATAAAAATCGCTTCAATTTTTTCTTCCGCTGGACGAGAATTGACCATTTTAGAGATTGTTGACGTGGTACGTTTCTACTAGTAAAACCGAAAACTGAATGAGAATATTCTAACTGAAAAATGAATGTTCATTGTCGTACTGACATTTTTTGTCGTTTTTATAAACAAGACATAACTTAACAAACCTTATCGGGCTGTTGGAATTGCCATATGGCAGATAAAAAGGAATATTTCTAGAAATATTGATATTAATGTGTTTGTCTTCAGGAAATTATTAAATGTTCAGCCATTTTGTAGTAGGTGAAGCTATTGACTTCATATTCTAGGGTTGTGAAGTATTCGTCAGGAGCTTCAAAACGATGTGTCACAAGACCCCCTTTCCATTTAATTGGCGCTCAGTCGCTATCTTAAAAGTTTCATCTGTCAATCTCACTTCAAAATAAAGTATTCATGCATTATTTTAATTATCCCAAATTTCAATTTGTTGAGTTGATCTGCATTATATGAAAAATCAAGTATGTTGTCAATATGAAATTCATTTGTCTCGGTCGTCATTGCCAAGTTATTGGAATCATGTACATGATCTTTTTAACTGATGTGAGAAGGGCAAGTCTATTGAAAATGAACAAATTGTAGTGGTTCGTGAAAATTATTACTAAAATTCCGATTCCATCAAGAAAATGTGGAAGGAGCCTCTGGTATGACAAAGCAATCAATCGAGTAGACGTTATGTTTCATTCGGTAGAAATATCTTCTCTGGAACACGAACCGCAGTGTGAGGTTATGGCATGTATGGTTTTTGATGAAGCGGCTAATGCTATCCGTACATATTGAAACAACCTACTGACGATAATTTGCGTGAATAATTCCATAGTAATTCCTAATGCAAATGAAGCATTCGATATTTATGTTTTAATTATATACTACAAATGATGTTGAAGTTTCGAAGTTATCAGTATTTACATTGCGAAAAATCGAAAATAGGCCCGTGGCATATAGGCTTATGTGAGTGTAGAACTATGAATTTATCTCATACATACGAGGGAGGTCCCAAAAGTACCCGGCCTAGCAAAGAAAACAAACATTTTAAAGAAATGTATTTATTTTTCAACATTATTTCATTTCAGCTGTATATAAACTACTCAAAATGAATATAGAGACACGTCCTTAAAATGCGATGAGTAAAAAAATATGTATTATTTTGTCAAACATTTATATTTATAAAATAGTTTATAGATGCCTTTATTAAATTAAACTTCCATTGTTTTCAAAATGCTGTTTGGTAATACGATTAAAAAGAAATACAAATGAGTGTCAAAAACAAATAGAATTTATTTCAAATTGAGGAAAATGTACATTAATAGTGAGTACGTCCACCCTGGCTCTAAGAAGTTCGGCACAACGACGAGGCATGTTTTCCACCAAATTTCTAATTATTTGTTGTGGTAATTGCTCGTAAATCGTCAAAGGAGCATCTGCAACTTGGTTCAGATTTTGGAAGGGTTGAGGATCCTTCAAACGTCTTTTCAGTTCATCCCAGAGCTGCTCAATAGGATTTAAATCCGGACTATTAGCTGGCCATCTCCTTTAGGAGATTTCTCATGACCCTGGCTACGTGTGGCCTGGCATTATCTTGTTGTAAAATGAACCCAGCGCCCATATTTTGGGCAAATGGGACGGCATGAGGTTCCAATATCTCCTCTATGTAACGGACAGCCGTTAAAGTCCGTTTCCGAAATGCCACAAGGTCCGTGTGTCCTGTCGAAGTTATACCAGCCCATACCATTATCGATCCACCTCCAAATGGAACAGTTTCTTGCACACAGTCATCCAAATAGCGTTCACCAGGACGTCCCCACACCCGAACACGTCCGTCATTGTTGAATAACATGATTATTTTTTCATCTGTACACATTACATTGGCCCACTGCTCTAAATTCCAATTATGATGCTCTTGACAAAAGTTTCCACGATTTCCTCGATGAGCTGGAGTTAATCTATGGGCTCTAGCAGGTCGTCTTGCATGGAGTTGTACTTCGTGAAGTCGGTTTCGTATCGTTTGGTTCGAAATTCGTGTTCCCGTAGGTTCTATAAGGCGATTTTGCAGTGTTCTAGCAGAATCGGTGAGACCCCTAATTGCCCAAAGTCGTAACAAACGATCTTCTCCGCGGGTTGTTGCCCTTTGTCGTTTGGGATAAGGGGCTCTTTTTGGGCTACACGACGCCTTAAATACCCTACTTCGATCAATGTCACTGCTCTAGAAACTTGAAATTCGTTGAGGTACACCCTAAGTATCCTCCTTCTACCCAATACATCAACATTTTTCATATTGATGATTTTGTAGCTGAAAATACAAAAAGAAGTAAAAAAAGTAAACAACCACCGAAAGGAACATGATAAGAATTAGTACAGAGTACACACCAGAAGCTTATATTATGAAATAATACATATTTTTTACCTATTGGATTTTAATGATGTGCCTCTATATTCATTTTGGGTAGTTTACTTTTTCCAACGACGTCCAATGAGTTCGATGCCGTGTTTATAATAAGAACTGTCTTGCTCCTCAAAACAGCCATTATCTGCCGACATAACTTCTTCATCGTTGGAAAATATTTGACCACTGAGCCATTTGTTCAAGTTTGGGAACGGAAAATAATCCGAGGGGGGTAAATCTGACTAAACGAGTGCATGAGGTAGTAATTTAAACTTTAATTCGTTAATCATCCCCCAATGTTCATATTTTTAAGTCAAGGCTGAACAAGATCATACTTCGTAAGTGTTGTTATTTCATAAAAAATTTCTTTTTATGGTACTAATTTTTCATTTTTAAACTATATTATTGATGTTTTTTATATACATGTATACGTGAATTTGTAATTGTTGACATGTCCTTGTTCAATGTAACGATGTTACTGAAATATTGACGTTTTTAATCATTTATTTAACCTTTGTGCATTAAAATGATGAAATAAAGGAATATTATATTATACCGCCATCTCTCGGTCAGGCCAGGTACTTCTGTGACCACCCTCGTAGTTTTGATGGATTTCTATCATCTATTGGTAATATTTCACACTCCCATCTATGTAGAATTGGAATCTCTGTCACTTTTACAAACCAAAACTTCTCTCAAGGCACTTCGAGAAAAGTATCATATCCTGATCTGTATTTTCTATGTTTTAATTAATATGTTATGTTTGGTCATGTTACATTCAATTTTTTTTCTTGTAGGTTCCAAAATGAATTGCCAAAGAAACTGAAGAGTCGCGGCAAGGACGCTCACTTGGTTCACGAAGAATTGGTTCAATGTATGAAATGGAAACAGGCGCGAGGAAAATTCTTTCCTCAGCTGTCTTACTTGGTGAAAGTGAATACTCCCAGGGCGGTTATGGCAGAAACGAAAAAAGCTTTCAGAAAATTACCTAATCTTGAACAAGCTATGCAAGCACTGTCGAATTTGAAGGGCGTTGGAACAACCATGGCTTCAGGTCAGTCTTTGAATTGTGGAGATTTATATATATGTGGACTGTATAAAAAATTAGGTGAATGGTCCAATTTCGCGGACTATGCTTTTTTTTAATTAAAATTATAACAACAGCGTACAGTTCAACATAGTTGAGACACTATATATGTAAAATATGTTGTTATTCTCCCTAATCACCAAAAATGCTGGTCTCGGGATTCACAAACATTCAATGTGACAAGTGAAACACAAAAACCAGTGAACCACTACAAAGCTTATAGCAGTAACGCATCAAACATGTGCCTCAGATGTTTTTTTAAACTATTGATACATTCTACT